TGGTTTTACGATATTTTCAATTTTGGCCTCTAGGGGAAAAACAAAAGACGATAGCGCTATGAGGTTTTCGGCATTAGCAGTTTCTCGAAAAACGAGATCATGACATGTCAGCTACTTTTTTTCTAACTCTTATAGTTTTCGAGTTAGCCTATTCGGACATCGAATTTGAACCACCCTGTACATAATTAAAAAACCAATAAAATGAGTTCAAACTTAACACATCTAGGTATTATAACACCCAGATATATTTATTTTTATAGAAACAAGATGGCCGAAAACAAAACACAAACAAATTGCGCCATCTATGCTTTTAGACATGAATTTTATAACATATATAGGATGTGATATATCAAATTGGGTTAAAATATTCTGATTATTACGAAAATGTTAGATAAATATGAAAATTATTGATTTTCTTTTCGCCATATTTATTTGCAATTATATTTTTTATAAATATAGAGTGTGATGTTTCAAGTTAAGTTAGAATTTTGTGATCTTTACAAAAATCTTAATCTTTTTGATATTTTTAAAAAATTTAAAACGCACTCGATTTTAATCCACATTTTATTATAAACTCATCAAAATTTAAGAAAATAAATAAGTTTTGGCATGGGGCCTTTTCTTAAAAGCCGACTGCGATGACTAATAAGAAAAACAATTAATTTGATATCTATGACCTAAATAGATAATAAATAGTAAGAAGCATACCTTGTTTTATTTTAGATCCGTGTCTAATTCGAATAGGTTTCGTGCACCTGTAAACTAACGATCGTTGTTCTTATTAGTTACTACGACCGGAATGAAACGAACAATGGCTTATATAGAAACACCCATTCATTCATATCTTGGTATTATCGTTTTTTGCTTGGTTCTCACTAAATACAAGGTCATGATTTAAGAAGGGATGAATTGTTTGAAACGTTTTTTACGTGTTATTTTATTTACCTTAATTTTGTTTTTTTTTCGGCAGATAAGATGCCCTTCAATGATTTTATAAAGCATACAAAAAAATCTTACAAAACCAGGAAAATACATTGTGAAATTAATGAATCTTAAGAATTATAAGAAAAATGTTCAGATTCACATTGTATCAATGAGGTAATTATGTTATCGGTATATTTAAATAAAAGTTATTTACTGTTCTTTTTCGGTTTGTTTAAACGGAAAGGTGATAAGATTCTTTTAAAAAACTTTCTCGAAATTTGTTTTATTACATTTATTTTTTTATAAACATCAGTCGTTTAAAAATACAACATTTAGGTGTTATATCATATAATAAAGTAATGAATTACTCAAACTCAAAACATTATTTTATAAATTAACTCAAATGATTAAACTTGCTAAGAAAAACTATATGTTAAAAAAATATATTAAAGAGAATTAATGTAATATTTTTATTTTATTCTATTTTATTGTCTTCCTCCTCTTCAGCTGAAACATCATCTTCAGCCTCATTTTTTTCAGTGTTTTCTAAAAATTAATATTTAATTATAATCTATTAATTATTTAATAAGTTATTTTACCATTTGCTCCACGTTTATTATGAATATTATTGTCAGCAATTAAAGGCATTTCTGTAAAAAGAAAAGTCGTGTTATAGAACTCATTTTTTACATTTTTTTACTTTTATTACCTGGAATTGGAAGTCCTGAAAAAGGAGGTTGTGGTGGCCAGAATGCTAAAAAAGATAAATTAATTTCTAAATTTTTCTTTTATTGATAAACTTACGATATGGGGCTGAATACGGTGCAGGATACGGTGCTGGATACGGTGGTGAATATGGTGGATATGGTATTGGTGGAAACGATGGATATGAACCTGAAAAATAAACAAATTATTCTTAATTAATTATTAATTTCGTGTATTGAATAGAAGAGGTTAATTTATTCAAGATATTTACCGTATTGATTTATTGGGATATGTGGTGGAATAAATGATGATGGTATATCATTAATATCTAAAAAATGAAAGTAATTAATTGGATTTTTTTTTATTAAATTAATATGAAAAATCTTACTAATTCCATCTTGGATGATATTAATAGGTAAACTTCCTGAAATAAATAAAATCAATTAATTTATATTATCTCTACATATTTTTAATAATGTTATGAAATAATATTTTCCTAAAATTGTAAAAGTTTGATCACCACCATTCATAATTTCCATTTTTCCGTCAACAAGGCATATACAGTAAAAAGCTTTGCTACTTTGCTAATTCAACAACAAGCAGTTGGTAGGCAAACTCATGTTTTGTAAATTTTTACTTAAAAAATAAAGAAAGGAGTCAAGCAGTATCTAAAAATAAAACTGCCAAAGAGCAAAATAGAGATTGAAGCGTCTATTTACGAAAGAAAGTTAAACTTAGCACCTATAAATATGGGAATCAAAATCAGTATTATCGGAACAGCAAAACCAAAGACTGCAAAACCGTGGTGACCAAAGACTTAAATAAAATACAATATCTTGTCTCCGCAGATTGAAAATAATGTTGACAATAGAAACCGATAATAATAGTGCTGGTTTCGAAATTTTATTACAATTTTCAAGCATGTAGACATATCTCTAATTTTGGAAAGCTCATATTTAGAGATTGCATGGAAAGTTCTTGAGCATGATCATTAGTTCTGATTAGAGATTTTAAAGGTAAGATGAAATTAACGTTGGAGCAAAAATAGAGAGCTAGAGTATCAACGACCATCTCAGAAGACATTGAGGACGATCCTAACTAAAATGTTGTTATAAATAAGCAATCTGGTTATAAAATATGAGTTTCTAGTTTTCTGATTTTATCAATCACTTTTAATTTTTGTGTTATGATCAAAATTAGTAACCAAAATCATCAATTTTGATATTCTAATTAAAATATGGTTACACCAAAGTTAGAACTAATTATAAATTAAGTCTTTTTGGTTTATTTAAACAATTTATATACAATGCAATTTTCTCCATCCATTTTAATTTTTGAGTTGGAATTGACAGTAATAACGAAAATCATGAATTTTGATATTTTAGGCATATCCACTTTTCAACTAGAAACTGGTTAAATTTGACTTAGAGCTGGCTGTGAATTGTGATTTTTGGCTCATTATAAACAATTTATGTACAATATATTTTTCTCTACCACTTTTAATTTTTGAGGTATGATCGAGTTTAGTAACGATAATCATCAATTTTGATATTTTAGGAATTTCTACGTTCCAACAAGAAATTGCTTTCAGCTGACTTACAACTGATTATGAATTATGTCTTTTTTGTTCATTATAAACAATTTATATACAATATACTTTTCTCCATCACTTTTAATTTTTGCGTTATGATTAAAATTAATAACGAAAATCACTAATTTTGATATTATTGGAATTTCCACGTTCTAACTAAAAATTAGTTACACCTGGGTTATAACTGATTATGAATTATGTCTCATTGGTTCATTATAAACAATTGATATACAACACATTATTTTCTACCACTTTTAATTTTTGAGATATCATCGAGTTTAGTAACAATAATTATTAATTTTGATATTTTTAGGATTTTCATTTTTTAACTAAAAATTAGTTACACCAGAGTTACAACTGTTTATGAATTATGTCTTTTTTGTTCATTATAAACAATTTATATGGAATATATTTTTCTCTACCACTTTTAATTTTTGAGATATGATCGACATTACTAACGAAAATCACTAAATTTGATATAATTGATATTTCCACTTTTTAACTAAAAATTAGTTACACCTGAGTTACAACTGATTATGAATTATGTCTTTTTGGTTCATTATAAACAATTTATATACTATATACTGTTCTCCATCACTTTTAATTTTTGAGATATGATCGACAATAGTAACGAAAATCATAAATTTTGATATTTTTGGGATTTCCACTTTCTAACTCAAAATCAGTTACACCTGAGTTACAACTGATTATAAATTATGTCTTTTCGGTTCATTATAAACAATTTATATACAATATACTTTTCTCCAGCAATTTTAATTTTCGAGATATGATCAACAATAGTAACGAAAATCATAAATTTTGATATTTTTGAGATTTCCACTTTTTAACTAGACATTAGTTACACCTGAGTTACAACTGATTATGAATTATGTCTCATTGGTTCATTATAAACAATTTATATACAACGCATTATTTTCTACCACTTTTAATTTTTGAGATATCGTCGAGTTTAGTAACAATAATTATTAATTTTGATATTTTTAGGATTTTCATTTTTTAACTAAAAATTAGTTACACCAGAGTTACAACTGTTTATGAATTATGTCTTTTTTGTTCATTATAAACAATTTATATGGAATATATTTTTCTCTACCACTTTTAATTTTTGAGATATGATCGACATTACTAACGAAAATCACTAAATTTGATATAATTGATATTTCCACTTTTTAACTAGAAATTAGTTACACCTGAGTTACAACTGATTATGAATTATGTCTTTTTGGTGCATTATAAACAATTTATATATAACATATTTTTCTCCACCACTTTTAATTTTTGCGTTATGATCAAAATTAATAACGAAAATCACTAATTTTGATTTTATTGGGATTTCCACTTTCTAACTAATTTCTATTTACACCTGAGTTACAACTGATTATGAATTATGTCTTTTTGGTTCATTATAAACAATTTATATACAATATACTTTTTTCCATCACTTTTAATTTTTAAAATATGTTCGACAATAGTAACGAAAATCATAAATTTTGATATTTTTGGAATTTCCACTTTCTAACTAAAAATTGGTTACACCAAAGTTGCAACTGTTTATGAATTATGTCTTTTTGGTTCATTATAAACAATTTATATACAATATACTTTTCTCCATCACTTTTAATTTTTGAGATATGATCGATAATAGTAACGAAAATCATAAATTTTGATATTTTTGGGATTTACACTTTCTAACTAAAAATTAATTACACCTGAGTTACAACTGATTATGAATTATGTCTTTGTGGTTCATTATAAACAATTTATATACAACATATTTTTCTCCACCACTTTTAATTTTTGAGATATGATCGATAATAGTAACGAAAATCATAAATTTTAATATTTTTGGGTTTTCCAGTTTCTAACTAAAAATTAGTTACACCAGAGTTACAACTGATTATGAATTATGTTTCTTTGGTACATTATAAACAATTTATATACAATATACTTTTCTCCATCACTTTTAATTTTTGAGATATGATCGACAATAATAGCGAAAATCATAAATTTTGATATAATTGGGATTTCCACTTTTCAACTAAAAATTAGTTACACCTGAGTTACAACTTATTATGAATTATGTCTTTTTGGTTCACTATAAACAATTTATATACAATATACTTTTCTCCGTCACTTTTAATTTTTGAAATATGTTCGATAATAGTAACGAAAATCATAAATTTTGATATTTTTGGGTTTTCCACTTTCTAACTAAAAATTAGTTACACCAGAGTTACAATTGATTATGAATTATGTTTCTTTGGTTCATTATAAACAATTTATATACAATATACTTTTCTCCATCACTTTTAATTTTTGAGATATGATCGACAATAATAGCGAAAATCATAAATTTTGATATAATTGGGATTTCCACTTTTCAACTAAAAATTAGTTACACCTGAGTTACAACTTATTATGAATTATGTCTTTTTGGTTCATTATGAACAATTTATACACAATATATTTTTCTCCACCACTTTTAATTTTGGAGATATCTTGGAGTTTAGTAACGAAAATCATAAATTTTGATAATTTTGGATTTTCCACTTTCTAACTAAAAATTAGTTACACCTAAGTTACAACTGATTATGAATTATGTCTCTTTGGTTCGTTATATACAATTTATATACAATATACTTTTCTCCACCACTTTTAATTTTTGAAATATGTTCGACAATAGTAACGAAAATCATAAATTTTGATATTTTTGGAATTTCCACTTTCTAACTAAAAATTGGTTACACCAGAGTTACAACTGTTTATGAATTATGTCTTTTTGGTTCATTATAAACAATTTATATACAATATACTTTTCTCCATCACTTTTAATTTTTGAGATATGATCGATAATAGTAACGAAAATCATAAATTTTGATAATTTTGGATTTTGCACATTCCAACTAAAAATTATTTACACCTAAGTTACAACTGATTATGAATTATGTCTCTTTGGTTCGTTATAAACAATTTATATACAATATACTTTTCTCCATCACTTTTAATTTTTGTGTTGTGATCAAAATTAATAACGAAAATCAGTAATTTTGATATTATTGGGATTTCCACTTTCTAACTAAAAATCAGTTACACCTGAGTTACTACTGATTATGAATTATGTCTTTTTGGTTCATTATAAACAATTTATACACAATATATTTTTCTCTGCCACTATCACTTTTGAGATATGATCGAGTATAGTAACAAAAATCATCAATTTTAATATTTTGGGAATTTCCACTTTCCAACTAAAATATAGCTGCACCTGATCTGGATTTGTGTATGAATTTTTTTGTTTTTTCTAAACAATTGATGTATAAAATATTTTTCCCCATCGCCGTTAGTTTTTGACTTACAGCCAAAATTTACATAACCGGAACTGGTATTTTATCTCGGCTTAAAATTTCTAGGCTTTCTTTAAATTAATATTTTAACTCACCTTCTTCTTTACCTCGCTTAGCTGTAACAAAAAAAATTTAAACTAACCACCACAATTTAATTATATCAAAAATACTTACGTTGCGGATCTGAACTAACAATTTCATCTAAAACAAATTATAAAATTAAATTAAAATCTTCGTTTAAAATAATTTCATTTTTTTACTTGGATCAATACTCCTCACTGAATAAGAATTTTCAAAATTAGGTGCGATTAAAGGTGTTGCACCTACAGGTCCAGGTGAAAAGTATCGTCCGCCAGCGAATGCATCTTGGAAGCAACTCGGTGGACATTCTTGATTTACTTCTTCGTTTGACGTTCCATAACAACCTTCACAATTCGGTTGCGGAATACCGCAAGTTACATAAGGCCAAGCTTGTTGATACGCACACCTCGTTTGTGGTTGTGGTATATATATTAATTGATTATGGCAACTTTGTTGACCAGTACTTGCTTGTTCGCAAACTTGATGTTGCTGGGCGTGCATTATTGATGATGCACAAAAGCTTCCACATTGTTTTCTCCTATCAAAAAATGTTTAGAATAAACATTAATGTAATTTATAGAAAATATATTTTACCTTAAATGATAACATCTTGTATATGGATATTGAGCTTGTGGAGTACATTGTCTTGGTCCAACAACTTGACAACATGATTGTTGTTGCGGATGAGGCTGTGGATGCGGTGGTTGTGGTTGTGGCTGTTGTGGATGCGGTGGTTGTGGTAGCACAATTTGTCCTGAAGTTTGTCCTCCTCCATAGTAACCGTCATACTCATTAGCAGCATCGATCGTAAAGTTATTATAATTAGTGCTATTTACGTTAACAGGAATATCAATTTGATTGGTGTTATTGATTTTGTTATGTAAATTAATGACCGTTGTTATATTGACCGCATTGGATTGTTGTGATTGGCTGCTATCACTACTACCAGGTTTAGTATGAGGAATTTTTTTATTACAAACATTTCTACAGCTTTTTCTGCACGACTGCGAAGCGCATTGCGCATGACATGTTTTATAGCAACAATAAGTACTCGAACACTGTTGATTGAAATTTGCGCAACAAGTATTGCAAGTTGATGAGCAAGTATTCGTCGAACAATAATCGCAATCGCAATCGCTACAAGAATTTGAAGATCCTGTACAATGTCGTTTGTACCTTTTTAAACAGCTGATATCATTTTCTCCTTTCACACATTCTTCGAGCTCTTTACATTTGTGACTTTTTCCATTCGAATAAGATATGGAGACACAAATTAGAGATAAAATTAATAATATTTTGAACCACATCTGAAAGATTAAAATAAAAATTAATGTAAATAATACTTGAACTTTAATGGTATTTATATCACAACTTAATTATCTTTATTGCCATCAACGACTTCTCTATTTGCTTTTCAATTATAAATAGTGGCGTATTTGTTGCTTTTAAAAGGTTCGTTCTAGAAATTGTATACGACAAGGAAATTTGTTACGATTTTTCAAATATTTACAATTGAAACTGTTTCACATGGCATCCGGACCAAAAAAATCTTGATTAGATAATGAATTTTCCAATATTTGCGTGACCCATTTTCTAAAGACAGCTGGCGTCATTCAGAGCCAAAAAGTTTTTTTAGGGTAAAAAATTTTAAATCAACAAGACATACTTTTATTATTTACATAAGAAAAATTCCGACAAAAAAATAAAAATTCGTGGTATGATTTCTACATTAAATTGAAACTGAATATTTGCCTTTTAAAATGGTGTATAATACATGTTATGTTGCATAATGAAAATTTTTGGAAAAAGATTGGTAAAGTTTTCTTAACTATTCAAAAAATCTCAAAACTCCGACATTCGATTAAAAAGGAACAATCCCTGGAATGATTATTAATGAAGATTATGAAACGATTTTTATATCAAATTAAAACTGAATGTTTGCTCTTTAAAATGGTGTATAATACATGTTATGTTACATAACGAAAATTTTTGGAAAAAGAGGCAGGAAGCTTTCTTCATCTTAAAACATCTAAATGCAGACCGAAAGTAAAAAATATCAGGGAAAGGTTAATTATAAATGATATGAAACGATTTTTGTATAAAGTTGAAAATGAATATTTCTTTTTTAAAATGGTGTATAAAACATAATAAGTTAGATGGTAAAGATTTTGAGAAAAAGATTGGTAAAATTTTCTTAATTATTCAAAAAATCTCAAAACTCCGATATTCGATCAAAAATTAACAATCCCTGGAGTGATTAATTATTAATGAAGGTTATGAGACGAGTTTTATATCAAATTTAAACTGAGTGTTTGCTCTTTAAAATGGTGTATAATACATGTTATGTTGCATAATGAAAATTCTTGGAAAAAAGATCGGGAAGTTTTCTTTACCTTAAAACATCCAAATGCAGACCAAAAGTAAAAAAAAAAACCAGAAGGGTTAATTATGAATGATATGAAACGATTTTGGTACAAAGTTGAAGATGAACATTTCTTCTTTAAAATGGTATATAAAATATAATAAGTTAAATGGTAAACATTTTGAGAAAAAGATTGGTAAAGTTTTCTTAATTATTCAAAAAATCTCAAAACTCTGATATTCGATCAAAACTTAACAATCCCTTGAATGATTATTAATGAAGATTATGGGACGATTTTTATATCAAATTAAAATTGAATGTTTGCTTCTTAAAATGGTGTATAATAAATGTTATATTGTATAATGAAAACTTTTGGAAAAAAGATCGGGAAGTTTTCTTTACCTTAAAACATCCAAATGCGGACCGAAAGTAAAAAAATAACCAGAAGGGTTAATTATGAATGATATGAAACGATTTTGGAACAAAGTTGAAGATGAACATTTCTTCTTTAACCCATTTAGTCCCAAGCTGCTTTATGTTTAAAATTGATTTTTTATACTTTTCCTTAAGATAAGATGGAATGAAGAGTATAAAAATGTACACAGGTGTTTGAAACAAAAAATTGTTTGTGAGATATGAGATGGTGCAAAAATGCACCACTGGTAAGATAAGTGAACAAGAGCACACAAAAATTTTGATTATCATTTATTAACTAAGTAATAAATTAGTCGTAAATAAATAATAATACTAATACAACATTATACTAACAAATACCAACTTTAGTATAAAGTTTAATATAAAAAATATTTAAACTAAAATTGGTGCAAAAACGCACCAATGGGATTAACAGTATAACGATTTATTGTGATAGTCCGTAAAACACTCTACATGTAAATGAACATTACACTTACTACACATATGTATAGTATGTTTATGGCATATTTTACATCTTCTACGAGCTTTAGAGTCGTGATTCTTTATTAAATGGTCATTGGAAGATTCAAATTCTCTGTTTGACCTCGTGTTTCGTTCAGTATTAGGTGTTGCGTTTTCATATTTCATTAGCCGAACTGCAATATGTGATTTAAAATCCAATTGTGCCATTTTAGTATTATTGACAGTATTGTATAATTTCCACGCGTTTATTATGACACTATCCAATGAATTAATAAATAGTGGCCACCACCACTTCTTTCCTAATACTCTTGTTCTATAGTTGGCTATTCCGTTATCGTGTAAATCTACACCACCCATGAATTTATTATATTCTGATACCGC